GACACTGTAGATGTCTAATGCTTGCCACCAAATGTCACACTCCAAGCCAGGGTACAATAGTGGCACAACAACATGAGTGTACCTAATACTGCCGAACTACACTTAAAAATGGTTATGATTCATCACAAGGAAAAAACATTTTTTTTGTAACTATGGATAGGGACGGATGTTAACTGGACTTATCGTGGTGATCATTTTGCAACATATACAAAAATCAAATCATTACATTGTACACTTGAAATTAATGTAATTTTATGTCAATTATCCCCCAATAAAAAAAATAAGGACTTGGTGATGGGGGAAGTCTAGTAAACATAATGTTCCTCACATAATTGTAGATTAATGGTACCAAAAAGAGAAAGTGTTTAAGACAGTAAATTTTACGTTACATGTATTTTACAATTTTAAAAATGGCAAAAGAAAAAGTTTATCAAAAAAAGATAAGCAAGGTAGTGATGTCACTCTGTATACCAGGCACTGCCCTCGGTCTTGGAGTGATCTCTGCTTTGGTTCTGCATCTTTAAAGACCACTGGCTCAGCCATTACCACAGATACTCTGGTCATGAGGAAGATACCTCTTTACACTTTCTGCCCAACTTAATAGTTTTCAAAGTTTTCCTCTGAAGCTATCTAAAAGAAGTTTCCTTCCTTCTTTCATATTTTGTCATCCCATTATTCATTCATTCAGTAGATATTTATGAAGCACCTACGATGTGCTGAGCACGGTTCTAAGCTGATGCTCGGTATTCAAATACTGATGTAGTTCCACATCAGTTGGTCAATAGCTGCTGCCTACAGCGCCCCGCCCCCTCCACACTGGTCACCTCATCTCCTCCCTGGGACACTCCCCACCCTGGACTTCCCCATGATTCAGCAAAGCAGGAAGGCTCCTTGGTAGCCACTTCCGGTTCACTGGTGAATGCCTGAGCCTAAACCCCTGTTAAATACTTTATCACCTCCTAGGTATAACAATGAATGAAACAGCAAAGATCCCTACCCTCTAGTCTAGGAAAGAGATAATACACAAGTAAATACATAAATGAATCAGATTATTTCAAATACAGAGTTCTGTAAAGGAAATAAAATAGCTAAGGGCTAAAGAGTGACTAGGGGTCGGGGAGAAGGGAAAAATTTAGAAGTCTCCCTGGGAAGGTGACATTAGAAGGAACCAGGAATGCAAAGTTCTAAGGTAAAAACATTCTAGATAGAGGGAACAGGAACATCAAGGCCCTCTGGTGGGAACAAGCTTGGGATGTTCATGGGTAGAAGGCAGTGTGTTGGGAACATCTTGAGCATGTAGATCACAGGATAGACAGGGCCAGATTAAGACGGATCTTAATGACATTGGTAAGGAGGTTGAATTTTTTGCCAAGAATAGTAAGCAATCATTAGACAGATTTGAAACAGGGCAATGACATGATGTAATTTATATTTTTAAAGATTACTCTGACAATTGTGTGTCAATTGGATGAAAGAGAAGCAAGAATGTAAAAACAAGGCAGTGTGTGAAGCTGTGGTAGTCGTCCATGAACAATGACAGTTGTGACAGCGATAGAGATGGAGAAATATTCTGACTCAGTATATGTTTTAGAGGTAGAGTTGACCAAACTTACTGATGAGTAAGATGTGGAAAGATGAAACAAAAGGAATCAAAATGTCTACTCTCCTTTGATTCAGCAAGTAGCTGATGCTAGTTCCATTACTATAAAAGCAATGACTGAGGGAATAAATAGGTTTGTGGAGAAAAGGAATAAAAAGTTCTGTTTTTATTGTGAGATATCATTTAGATGTATAATACAGAGCTACCAAACAGGCAGTTGGATATTTGATCTTGATAATAATTCCATGAAGTAGGCCAGGAAACCTGGCATTATCCAAATTTTACAAATGAAAAAACTAAGGTCAGAGAAAAAGGCTTGTCATAGTACAAAATATTTTTTATTAACCAATGCCACTTGACAGAGGCTGACTGGAAAATGAGGAACACCTTCACTGTTAAAGACTTCTCTCTGAAAAAACATACCTACATAGCTTGCCCTATATGGGCTACACAACTGCTCTAAAAGTAAAGGTTCTTTACAACCCAAGAAGATTCCCCCCAGGAGATTATGACTTACCCAAACAGCAACATTTAATATACACAAACTTAACTAAGACGTGTGTATAATGCATATTATTCTCTTTCCTCAAGACTTGCGTCAACAATTTAAGCATACACATGATGCATAAAGTAAGGCACAAAATTCCCCTTAAGGAAGATTATAGTTCTTAGTTCTCATTTTTATTAAGTGTGGTGTCAAAAAGCTTCCTAAAAAGAATATTGCTTCTCTCTCACTTACCAACTTTACATTTCCCTGTATGGCCCCGGAAGATGACTGGTTAGCCAGAGACGGGTAAGACCTAAAACAGGCACAGTCGCAGGGGGGCCATCAGGTGAGAAATTGGGGATCAACAGAGGGGAGGCTTAGAACCTCACCCCCCCCCTGTTTTGAGAGAAATCTTCTGCATCTGTGGATGTTTTGTTGCCCTTGTCTAGCTTGGATTAATACTTAGTCTATAGGCATAGACCTGATCATCTACATTTGCCCTCTTACAGCACTAAATTATGTTTTCTACCTTTATCTTGCATCTATCTACTACTTCAGCATTTTATTAAAATAATAATAATAATAATAATAATAATAATAAGGGAGAAATGTGGGATTCACATATAAATCAAATATAAAAATCAAATGAATAATCATATCTGATTTGATTGTTTATAGTTCATGACGCGTGATCAAAACCGAAAGTTTCTGTGATATGACTGCCCTTGCACTGTGCACCATGTAAGAACTTATTCACTATGTAAGAACTTGTTCACCATGTAAGAATTTGTTCGTTATGCTTCAGAAGATTGGAGACTGTTGAGAATTAGGCTTGAGGTTGATTAATGATTGTGCATTGAGTCCCCTATACAGAATTTTATTGTTGTTAACAACCATTTGATCAATAAATATGAGAGATGCCCTCTCAAAAAAAAAAAAAAAAAAGATAAAAAAAGCTTTCTAAGGAACCCACCTCCAGAATTAGAAAAGAAAATCAATTGGGAAATGACCAATATAAGAGTAATTACTCCACACGCATTTCAGGACTATAACCAGCATGTAAACAAGCTTGTGCTGCCCTCAGCATTTTGTCAAACATGCCCTGACAGCTTTTTCTTCATTTGGTTGTTTGAAAGTAGTGGAAACTTCTACACTAGAAGATGTATCATATTCCAGGCTCAAAGCATGTATTATAACTAAACTTCCTTTGAAAATTGTAGAGGTGCCATGCTGAAATTAAGGTTGGCACTAAACACAGGAAGGGCAGGCCTTAAGAAGGAAAGAAGAGAGAGACAGGGTGAGGGAGGAGAGGACCTGGGAGAAAAGAGAGAGCAGCAGGTGACCGCTCCTGATGGCAATCCCTTATAACAAAGGACTCACAAATAACATGCTCCCACAGCAGTACAAAACCCCAAGAAAGACACACTTGTTTACGTGGCCTGAATCCAGAGGTTAATACAGGCTTTCTGTATTTTAAGCAGTGTCAATTATCAGTTTCAAATGAGTAGTAATCCTCCACATCGAGTGAAAAATAAGCATGCCTGCTGATTCAGTTTACCAGCACTTCACTAAACCTTCATGCCAACACCTACCATGTATGCTCTTAAAATAAAAGCAATAGCCTGGTTGGCACTACCAATAATCTTAGTATCCTCACAATTGGAAGGAAACTTAGAGGTCATTATATCCAAACCTCTCGTGTTACAGATAAGCAAACTAAATAAAGCCAAGAGAGATAAAGTGGCTTACCCATCATCCCAGAGCCACTTCAGAATGAAAAGATGTTTTTCTCTTAGTCATGATTCCTTGTACTATACCACACTGTCTACAGAGCAAGAAAGAAAAGTACGGCAGAGATGGCCCAAGGCTTTCTTGCAGCCACATCAGGGAGAGTAAAGGTGAGTCGGGCATTTCAGCCCTGGAAACAAGGCTCCAGGCTACAGTCTGGCTGTCATTCTGCCACTGTTCTCAGCCTACACTCTGAAGCAGGTGACAGTCTTTCCAACACCACTGGGCTTTTTCCATCAGAGCTTTTGGTTTGATGTGGCAGAGTTTGATGTCTAGTAGCTGGTGCCTCCTCCATCAAGGTCTTCAGAGGAGGCCTTTGAAAGCGCACGGCAGTGTGCTCCAGGCTGCAGCAAAGCGCAGACCCTCCATGAGGCCTAGGGGAAACAACACCTCTCCCCTCCTTTAAACTAGCATATTCCTAACTGGATATTACAGATGGCCCTAAAAAAACTATTGCAGGGTTGCAAATGCACTTAGCCTGGATGGTTTCTTCCTTTCAAGTTTTTGCCCAATCCCTTATAGATAGAAAATTCTAGAAATAGTCACACCAAACCTCTGCAGCACTTTTATGTGGAACTCACATTTACATTTTAGTGCTTATGGAGAACACAATTTCTAATCAACATTATTTTTGAAAAGTCTTACCTAGTTATCAGGGAAGTTATAATGTAAGCAGGGCTTATATTTGGTTTGCCTAATGCAAACACTTACACATATGAATAAGTGGATTCATAATAACAAAAATATTCCCCAACGACATCTAGAATTTCCTCTTATCCCAAAAAAGAATACCTTGACAGCCTGTGAAAATCTTCCACAATGTTATATGTGGGTTTTTTCCTAGAAATAGTCTTTCTGGGCATTCTTTTTCTTAATATATCTATACAACTGTTCAATCCAAAATACATACTGTGGGTCCAAGATTCTCTCATTAGTTACTAGAAAATAACTCTAAGAGTAAACAGCCTATCAAAACTAGTACACACTCCATTCCAGATCAATTCCCTAGCTGGTTATACTATTCACCATCTCCCCTCTCCACTGAAAAAGGGGCCTGGATTTTATCTGACAGGATTAGCATTCCATTGGCCTGATTACAGAAAATAATGAAAAAAAAATACTTACAGCATAAGCACCTATCAAAAACGCTGCATTTGCTCTTTTCCGTTGATCAAAACAGGTATAGTGCACTATTTTCTTTCTTGAGAGACTATATGACTAGAAAGAGGGAATAAAAAAAGGGTAACCATAGAGACAATGTTGAAATACACAGAAAACATCATCTCTTAACTTTCAAAGATACATCACAACCAGTGAAATTTAACAACTTTCAACTTTAATTTCTTTGGCAATTGTACATAAGCATTTGAGGGTGAAGAGTGACTTTTTTATGGCCCCAAAAGCTCAGACTTTTTGCAGCCCAATCAGTATATAAGAATTAAAAATATAACTAATATGTTTCTCTCCAAGAAAGGAGACAAATATAGTGTTAAATAATTATTGGCATCTTTGTTAGCAGGAACCATTTTTAAAAATTTACTCTTGATCTTATATGTAAAGTCTACTTATCTTTTCTCATTCCCTATATCCCATACCCAGTTCCCAGAAAACTTACACTTTTCATATTATAAGAGCTTGTTTTTAAATGTGCCAATCAGTCTGTCTTCATCTCCAAAACTGTTAAATGCCTATTAACTATAGCACTAATATTAATATTTTTCTATAATGTTCTATTAAAATCCCCTTTCAATCATCTGAAAATGAATGGTTAATGGAAAAAGACAAACCATCAAAAGAATTATATCAGCAAACATCTTAATACAATAGTCATATATTAAATTCACCTGCTATATGTCAGGCAATATATGCTGCATGCTCAAGTATTCAACTAAATCCAAAGTAAGCAAAAAGGGATGTTATATACATGCTGAACATGAAACATAGTGTACAATTTAAAAAATCTGTTAAAATGAAATCAAAATATTAATCAAAACTCAAACATAAAACAATGAAAGCACTGATGCAACTCGATGAAATCTACTTTATTTCCTCACAGTTCAATTACAGTATTTTGACAAATGGTTTCAAAACAGACATATAAGTACCTTTTAATATTTGTCTCTAAATTCAGACTTCCTATAAGTGCAGCTTTTTATGCCTTACACATTGATCACACCACCCAGAATACCTGCTTTTAGAGCCCCTTTAAAAATGTAACAGAGCTCTGCTATATCTGTCTCTACCCTGCTCTTCTCTACAAGGAAAAGAAACTCTTCCAACTCTGAAGTCCATTCTAAGATAAAATTACAACACTGTGGCTTTAATATGGAACCACAAAAAAAGTATAGCTATATGGATCCTAGCAATGAGCCTGGAAACCCTCACCACCCCAAGTCACATGTCTCTTTGATAACCAAGAATCGTGTTGTGAAAATAGGATTGCTCTTTTAATTTGAACTTTAAAAGTGTTTGCCTCAAAGAGGGTCTCTTATTACCAAAGTCTTAAGTTCCAGACAGGCTTGCTAAAATAGCCTAGTAAAATAATGTTTTTAAAAGTTCATTTTATTCAATTTAGTTCACTGAGTTAATATGCTTATCGAAAGACTTCAAGGTTGCTATAATCAAATAACACCTGTCTCCTTGCTTTCTAAATTTGGAACTATTAATATGGAACCACAAAAAAAGTATAGCTATATGGATCCTAGCAATGAGCCTGGAAACCCTCACCACCCCAAGTCACATGTCTCTTTGATAACCAAGAATCGTGTTGTGAAAATAGGATTGCTCTTTTAATTTGAACTTTAAAAGTAAGTGTTTGCCTCAAAGAGGGTCTCTTATTACCAAAGTCTTAAGTTCCAGACAGGCTTGCTAAAATAGCCTAGTAAAATAATGTTTTTAAAAGTTCATTTTATTCAATTTAGTTCACTGAGTTAATATGCTTATCGAAAGACTTCAAGGTTGCTATAATCAAATAACACCTGTCTCCTTGCTTTCTAAATTTGGAACTACTGTCTGCTGGACATTCCCTTTTTTAATTTTTATTGTTTGTTTGTTTTCACCACTTATGTTCTGCATCAATAAGTTATGTTAATTTACTGAAAGGCTAGTCAAGGCTCTTAAGACCTAAGCATCTTTTATGGTCCCTGAATCTTAAACACTAAAGACTGCCTTATACAGGCCAGGCCCCCCCATAAACAGCAGCTAGACTGAACATAGGTCTCGGCTCTTCGGGTTCACAGCCTCCCACTATTTACATGTCCTGGTTCCTTACAACACCTGTGGGTAAGAATACATCAACAATCTGTCTTGAAGTGTAGATTATCTGTTTTGATGACCTTTTCTACTAAGAATTTAGGTTTCATAAGAAACTATTACTATTACTTAATAAAGTGAAATTAAATTTATTTACAAATCTCACCAAAAGTGACAAACTCATGTTGCTGTTCTTTCATCATCAATAGTCTTTTTGTTTGTTTTTGAATTCTTTGCATTTGCTTGTTTTTTGCTTTTCTAATTGTAAAGTATATGGACTGGAGAGACCCATCCTGCAACAAGAACCATGAATTGAAGGACAGAGTTCTAAAGGGAACTATCTTTTCAAGATATACCTATTTTTTTAAGTAAAGATAGAGAAATTAAAAGTTTTAAGGACTTTTGAAGAATTTTTTGAATTTTGCAAGCCTTCAGAAATTATGTCAGATAAAGAATATTAAGAAAATCTATCTAAAAACTCTGTTTTCAATCATCTCCTCTTAAAAGCTGGATGAAAACATAACTGACATTTTTAAACATCTATCACAACACATAATTGCAAAAAGTTTTTTCTTGTGATAACAACTTCTAAAGACTTACTTTCTTACAATACAGTATTACTAACTATACTCACCATGTTGTCTATTGTAATAACTGATTTTTTCTAATGAGAATTTTCCATCTGACTTTTAGAAAAATTTTTAAGACTCCTAATGTTTACCTTGCTTAGGTGTTTTTGGAATTCAAGAGTTTTTCTCAGTTAAGTCTCAGAAACACTAGAGTCAGGAAATGATCTTCTGCTTAGTGAGGCCTGGCCAATAGCTCCTAGGTCAGATCACAGAGTTGAGCTCTCCACTCAAGGAATCAAAACTAATTCAAAGTGAATAACAACAGAGAAAAATCTTATATATTCCTGGCCTTGTCCTAATTTCCCTCCTTGTCACAGGCAGGCCTCTCTCTGTGGGTCACCCTGCCGCAGTCTTACACCAGCAGTGCCCGTGGAAATATCCTGTTACTGAAATGAAAAATTTCTGGGATAACAAAAAATTTTGCCAGTTGTTTAGCTGATGCTTTTTATGATTGGGGTGATATACACAAACTCTTTGCTTTCTACTTTTAAATATCAAACATTTCCCTCTCTTTAAAAAAAAAAAAACACTACCTAGTACATATCAAAGCACCCTAGAAGAACCGATCCTATCTGCTGGAGACACTGATGACTGAAGTACCTTTAGAGGAACTTGTGGCTCATCCTTCAAAATCTTTCAATCTCTATTTCATAATAAACCCAGTAAATATTTTCTCACATTCTGCCCAAATGCCAGGAGAACTTTATGCCTCCAAACTGGACAGCTGCCTCTCTTGTACCTTGGCCTGGGAGGCTGTGGTCTGGGATGCTGACAAGGCCCTTCAAGGGGAGGAATTACAAAGCGGTACCATCACCTATGGCTTTCAGGGACCTATCTGCTCTAGTACTGATTCTTTTGGCTTTATGTGAGAAGTTCATAGATTGCAACACTGTGTACAACAGCAATGTAGAGTTAGAAATTGGTAAAACAAACTCATATAGTCTTAAATAAAAAGGTAGATTGTCACAGAAGGAACACTAAAACCTCTGAACTATTTGCCTGCTCTGTAGGAAAGCTACACATGACCCATTATAAATTATAACCAGTGGCCACTATCCACATTGTATTGTAGATTTCTATCTAGAAACTTGAGTATATAGTCTTCTAAACCTTCTTATCCTAAGCGGGCATAGGCAGCCCTCTCTAATAACAGCAACAACAGCTAACATTTATTGGTCACCTGCTATATTCCATCACTTCCCAAAGCTAAAAAGAACAGGGCCAGAGGGGTCCAGGTGGACCAAACACAGAATGTCTCCAAAAACAGAAGTCCTGGTGGGGAGCTGAAATATAATGAGCATGCTGTGCCTCTCTTTTACCAAGAGAATAAAATCCAGGAGCCAGAGAGGGCCTGGCTTACCATACAAGGCCAAAATTTCCTAGGTCAGATCATAGACAGTTGAATTCTCTCACCAAGCACAGAGACTGGAGAAATTCAGAAATATCTCCCTGAGCTTGAAAATTTGTGTAAATCTCAATTATAAGGCCACAAGTTTCATGGTTCAAAATTTAAATAAGTCTCGGGTTAAATTAAAACTTGTCAAAAATAAACTAAACATCAACCTAAATTATATTTCATTACTATATTATTGTATTACATTTAATGCTTTTAACAGACTGGTTCTGAGTTACCTGGAGGGCCTATTACAGTAGAGATGACTGGGCCCTGCCCACAGAGTTTCTGAGTCAGTGGGGCAGGGCCAGAGAATCTGCATTTCTAGCAAGTGCCTCGGTAATGCAGACGCTGCTGGTTGGGGACCACACAATGAAATCCACTACCCCAAGATATTGCTAAATTCTGGAGAAGAGCTGCATAAGATGTGACTGGCCCTGCCCCTGAAAATGTTCTATATGGATCCTAAAACACTATCCATGTGGTCAAGTGGCCCCAAAAGACACTTAATTCTCTTAGGAACTCCAAATCATGCCATACACCTTTTTAAAACATGTTATAAAAGATAACATGCTAGATTTCTCAGAAAACTTTGTTACAGTTTATGAATTCTTACATTCCAGATGATAACCTCTTAGGAAAAATTTCCTTTAATAAGCCACTAACTAAGCTGCCTTAAATGGCATTATTTCAGAGTCCAAATTCAGGTGCTCTCAGGAGCCAAGAATTCGAAGTGATCAGTTGGCAAACTAGAAAAGCATGCCTTATCCAAAGCAGACCTAGTTCCAACTTGCTGCTCCCATACAGGAATCAGGGCCAATAATCAGATACTGCAATATTTAAAAGAAAACAAAAATCCAGAATATATACAAAAATTACAGATGGTAACCATGAATGCAAAAATTTTTTAAAGCATCCATATCCAAAAAAATCATGTCTGTGGCAACATGAAAATAGCAAAAAACAGGCAGTTAGTTTGTTGACCTGGGTGCAGGGATATTGTGGCTGAAGAAAGTTCTATTGGTTCTATCAGCATGAAGTAAGCAGCTGTGTGTGGCAAACACAGTGCTGAGTAATGTGGCAATAAAGGGGGTGGAACCCCAGGCTGCCTCATAACCGCTCACAGTCTCATGAATATTTGATGCTAATCAAGGGGGAAATAATGGTCACAGCTTATTACAAATGAAAGAGAATAACTACCAAGGAATGCATTCATAGCACAGCAAGGACCAATGGAATGATCTTAATTACAGGGACAATAATTGTTTCATTTACCAAGGTAAAAAATAGTAGATAAAAATAGGATTTAGGATTATCTATCGATTAACATAAGCAAACCTATAAAAAATTCCACACCTGTATTATTTACCTAAGTGAGAGTCAAAAGTTGTACCATTCTTATGTATATCATGACAAATGTGTAATACAGCACATAAATGTTTAGTGTTTCTTGTAAACCAAAGTGCGAAGACTGCTATGATTGAACAATACAAATTAAGATGAAGGTATTGACCCAGACCAACATTTTCTATTTCAGGAAAAGCTATGTGAAGGGTTGCACTCTACTGGGATCACTCCTTGTGAAGAGCAAGCCACAGGAACTCAGAGAGACAGGAAAGCATGACATACTCCACAAATCACAAACGGCTCAGGCTATCCTTGGATTATGGTGACACAAATCATGCACTTTTTTGCTCAGCTTAGATCAGAAGACCGCAAACTACTTAACCATTCAAAAGAAAAAGGTAATGCAATTATGCTCAAAGTCAAAACAAAAGTTTATGGCCAATTTACAGTAACAGATTTTTTAGCAGCCTTTCAATAAAGTTGTTTGCCATGCTTCAAAGTAAACTCCTCAAGTCATTTGATTAGAACACCATGTTTAACTAAGCTGTGTGTCTCAACCTGACTGAGCTCAGGAAGACATTAGTGCAGCCTGGACAATACACTCTTTAATAAAAAAACAGAGTCCATGCACATCCCTAAACAAGCAAGCTCTGCCCATGATGGTGGTCAGATTAAGTAGATTACAGCACAGGGACCACAGGGACCAAGGCGTCATTCTCTTTCAGGTGACTAAGCTAGCCCAGTAATGGCCGTAGCAATCAACATCTCCAAAGCAATCAGTGATCATCTCATTGCAAAAGCAATAAAATGGACAGGTCTTCCTGTGAGCAGCCAACGACCCTCTACATGTTTTACCTCCAACTTTCCCAGGAAAGGGATATTCTTGAAAATTTTCTTTGGCTGTACAAAACAAAATATGGTTTATGTTTTTATTTAGAGCTTAAATAAAATAGGTTGAACAGTTCCTTTAAAAAGAAAGGGGTATCACTGTATGCTCCATTTTATTTCAACCCCAGTATGTCTCATTAATGAAATGGCACAGCAGATTAAAATGGACATCAAAAGGTCAAAGAAAACTGCTCATAAAGATTATTTGATCACACTGATAATCTAGTTGATGGCATTTGGGGATTCTCTAAAAAAGGGGTTCTTCTTGCCTGAGGATTTCTGAATGGGCCTCAGGGCCCCATGCCTTCCAAACTCTAGTACACTCACTCCCATGTGAACTAACACATTTTAGACTCCCTGATAGTCTTTTAAATTATATAAACTATCTCCAGAACATAGCTTGTTTTATTGCTCACAAAGCCCATGAACCTGAAACAGAAGATAACCTCATGAAGAAATCTCAACATGTTTTTATAGTTGTAATAAGAGGGTGGTCTGATTCTCACATCAAAAGAGTTCTTGTGTACAACCACCTGATACAGTGGCAGGTGCCTGGTTACCAGATAGGATTACCGCACTGATTCATTCAGCAACCGGGACATTCCCTGAGCCCCCACCATCTGCCAGGTACTTTCAGTGCTTTAATACAATAGTCTATTTCACCATGCCAACTCCCTCTTCTCCTTTCACTCTGAAAGGGCAGAATGTTTTGTACATCTAAAATCACATTTCTGTCAACATTCTTTTAAACCTTTTTAAACTAGTCCTCAAGATTACCATAATTGCCTTACTGATTCATAAAACATATTTTAAAAAATCACTGCCCTAGAAAATGTCCCCTTTTTAGGGTGAAGTGCTGAGATTTTTTTCCCTAGGCTGGGGTTTTACTTTTCTCTGAGGAAAAGTGAAATCAATGATTAAAAACATATTGACTATCATAGAAAAAGCTGGTTCAGTTATATCATGTTTGTAATACTTTCAGATTATTGAACAAGAAATTGAAAGATTTTCTTAAATGACTGAGTTTGAAGAAGGTACTCTGCTTTTTAAAATAACACTACTTGGTCTTCTGTTAGTGCAGACTTCTTTTTTAGATTCCCTGAAACTCTACCCAGCATTGTTAGCATTCTCTGTGCCAAGAATACCTTTGGAAACCTGTTGAAAAGTTATGAATCCTCTCAGAAGAAAAATGTAAATATATACACAATTTTACATATAACTTCAGGAGTTTTTTTGTATCTCTGAAAATACCAGACAAAAATTCCTGGTCCAAGCTTATTGATCATTGATGACATTTCACAGCAAGTAACATGCACAGTTTTACAAATTATTCTCACTTCAGTAAGTCTCCCTTCTTTTGACTGTTTCCCTCAGTACAGTAACTACTGACCAGAGACAGCAAGTTGCAGCCTAGTCCTGCAGAGCTCTTAGTACTTACACTAAAAGTATAGTTTAAAATAAAGAACAAGTTTTTTATCAGTGATAGTAGTTTCTGGCTTTGGTTTTTAATCTAAGCAGCTGTTTGATGGATAAATTCTCATTGTAATCAACATAATTAAAATGCAGGCCATTGGGAACAGAATGCATAGTGACACATGCACAAAAAAACAATCAATCACCACCTCAGATAATCAACTTGAAAAAATACTTTGGACATCTGATAATGAGAAATTATGGTTTAGAATAGAATGCACTGCAAAATATTACCTATCTATATAAGGCATCAAATAAAGGGGGGAAAGTCATAAAAGCTGTATTGGAAAAAACAAAAATTTCCAAAATAGAAAATGAAATGTGCCTAAAAGAGTTAGGAAAGCTCACAGGAGAAGAGTCTAAGAAGCTATTCATTAAAATAGTGCCAAATTATTCAGAGAAGTAAAGGAGTTTGAGAACCTAGTAAATGCCATCGGATTCAGGTTTTAAGATGTCACTAGAGCACTTTCAGTACATTAAGGAAGGCAAAAGTGAGATAGCAGAGGATAAAGAAATCACTGCGTAGCAAGGATGTACACACACTGATGGCAGGCTATTCTGAAAGCTCTAGAGGCAAAGGATAAAACAGGATGACTTGTGAGTGAAGGGGATCATGATAAGGTCAAGAGAAGTTTCCTTGAATTTGGTGGCCTTGTACTAGCCACTAGGGACACAAAATTACATGACATGTCTTCACCTTCAAGGAACTCATAGTCTAGTGAGTCTAGTTGAGAAAGACAGATGCAAACAGGCAATTATAATTCATCAATAATGGCGATTTGCACAGAGAATTTTGGGAAAACAAGGGAGGCAACTTTCAACCTTACCCAGAAGGTCAAAGAGATGCTTCCTAGAAGCGGTGGTGATTGAACATGGTCATAAAGACTGAGGAGTTATCAAGAGATAAAGGGCACTCAAGTCAAACTGGGCGTAACAAGCAATTATGTGGAGCAGTTCTTATGGCTCAGGGTAAAGTGCAAGGCTGAGAGAGGCAGGGGTGCTGCAGTCTTCAGTCAGTCAGTAAGTGAGGGCATTAAATCATCCCCAGGGAAAGATCCCAAGGGCAGAAGTTGTCAAGGTGAGCAAAACAAAAGGCATGGAAGCAAGGAGCCCAAAGGTCTCACCAAAATGAATCTATGGGTTGCAGACAAGAGGCATCAGCAGGGAGCCCATGACTAAGGGACTAGGAAAATGAAAGTCAGGAGATTACATGAGGGTGAGAGAGAAAGAATGTGGGAGGTAACAAGAAGGGTACATTCAAAGTCCTGAAGTCTGCATTCCTGGAAGCAAAGCAACCAGCGTGGCAGTAAGAGTCATGAGCAAAAGCGGCAGAGGGGCCTTGAGGCCACGATGGCATAACGACGTGGGAGTTGGTTGGCACAGCGCTGTGAGTGAGCACGGGAAGATTATAAATCAGAAGCTGCAGTTGTTATTCATGTTCAATCACAAGCCTTGAAGTCTAGCAGTGACTTTACCTTGCAGCCTAGAGCAAGTCACATGCCTCTCCTGGGCCTCCCTTTCTGTACCAATAAAATCAGGGGGCTGGACAAAATGGTCATTTATATTCCTAAAATTTTATCGAACAGCTTTCTCATATCAAAATGATAGCTATGGAGTTGAGAAGATGTTTATAAACTTTACTGAAGAACTGTCTTTATTGTATTTTCGATCAGAATTCATGAATGTTACATTAGTAACTTTGTTCTGTATAGGACTTCAAGATTTACAAACTCTTCCATGTACTTTCCAATATAATCCTAACCACCTCACCTCTGTGAGAGCTCTATAATCCCTATTTTACAACTGAAGAAATTGAGATTCCACAAGGCTGAAGCAATTGCAGCTTTGAATTGGTAAAGCCAGTTTTTTTCTCCTAATATAGAGAATTCTACTTGGTATGCTTCGAGATAACCATTTGAGAAAATAAGGGAGGCAACATTCCTTCAGCAAGAAACAGGGTACCTACTAATTGTACTGAAGCTAAAAATGTCATTCCAGGCATCTATCAATTTGCTGATCACTGAAATGAACCAAAAGACCACTTTTGTAATGTTGAAAGAAAGCTTTGTAAATGAAAACAAATCAAAACAAGTTCAGAGATTTGGGTTCAAGATGTAGGCATAACAAGATCCTGAGCTGATCCCACACACACACAATAAGTCTACAACGACACATGGAATAATTCCCTCTAAAAGGGACCTGAAAATCGGAATGAACAGAGCTTCCACAACAAGGTATAAAAAGACAGTATTGAGGCAGGAAAGTGAACCAGAGATATGGACTTACCAGACATAAAATCACACCCCAGCCATGACGAGTCATAAATGGAAAGGATATTTTTCCCTGAGAAGTGAAGAATTTTAGCCTCAAATCAGGCATCTCAACCCTTAGACTGCACAGGAGAGACAAGCCCCCAAAACACCCGGCTCTGAAAGGCAATGGGATGGCATTCAAGAAAACTATGAAGCTGTAGGGAATGGAAAACCCACTCTTAAAAGCTTGTGCACAGACTCAAATCAACCCAGAAACCAGCACAAAACACCAATTTGAAAAGCACATGGATCACAGGTAAGGGACACCTATTTACTAACCTTAAAGCATCTCACAAGAAAGCAGGAAACATTAGGAACTCTCCCCAGGGACTGTGACACTGGCAGGTGCAATTTTTGCAATCTCAGTTGGCCTGACTTATACCAATGCTGACAGGTGCCACTTTGGAATTCTCCCACTTACCTGCTCATGCAAGTGGATGAGAGCCCACTGAGAGCCCACCCACCAATGTGCCATAGCCATGTCCTGCCAAACAAGAGAACACACACAGCCCACATGGGGGACACCGCTCGAGTGCCAGGCTCTGGTGACCAAGGGCAATTGGGCTTCTGGGCCCCACAAGACATCTCTTCCATAAGGCCACTCCTTTAAGACTGGAGGAGGTAGCTGCTTACATAGAAACAAACACAGAGAGTTAGGCAAAATAAGGAGACAAAGGAATGTGTTCCAAACAAAAGAACAAGACAAAAACACAAAAAAGAACTAGATAAAACAGACATAAACAATCTACCTGATAGTGTTCAAAATAATGATCATAGACATGCTCACGAAACGTAGGAGAAGAAAGGATGAACACAATGAGAAATTCAAGACACAGAAAATATAAGAAATTACCAAACAGAGGTTATGACTCAACTGAAAAATACATTAGTGGGGTTCAAGCACAGACAGGATGGAGAAGAATGAATCAGCAAGGAGGAAGATGGTGCAATGGCACTCACCCAGACAGAACAGCAATATGAAAAAAAATAAAGAACAGTGATAAGATAACTTAAAGGACCTTTGAGAAATCATGCAGAATAACATTCACATTACAGGAATCCCAGGAGAAATGGTAGGGAGGGCACAGAAAAGTTATTTGAAGAAATAATGGCCAAAAACTTTCCAAATCTGGGGAAGGAATCAGACATCCAGGTCCAAGAATCCCAAAAAGCTCCAAACAAGATGAACCCAGAGAGATCCACACCAAAATACATTTTAATTAACATAGTAAAAGTAAAAGATAAAGACAGATTCCAAAAGCAAAACACAAAAACAACTTGCTACATACATGCAAGGGGAACTCCATAAGGCTATCAGCAGATATCCTATAAAGCATCTTTCTGACAGTAATGGTATGAAACTAGAAATCACAAGAAGAAAACAAGAAAAACCACACATCATGTAGTCTAAACAATATGTTACTGAATAACCAACGGGTCATCAAATAAATCAAAGGAGAAATCAAAAAATACCTAGAAGTAAATGAAAACAGAAATATGATATATAAACATCTACTGTATGCAGCAAAAGAGATTCTAAGAGGGAAGTGCATGGCCATACAGGTCATCTCAAGAAACAAGAAAAATCTCAAATAAACCTAACTTTACAATTAAATGAACTGGAAAAAGAAGAACAAAGCCCAAAATAAGCAGAAAGAAAGAAATATAATAAAGATCAGAGCAAACATAAATGATATATTAACAGCGAGAAGCTGAAAGCTTTTCCCCTAAAATTGGGAACAAGACAAGGATGCCCACTCTCCTGCTTTTATTCAACATAATACTAGAGGTCTAGCCATGGCAATCAGACAACACAAAGAAATAAAAGGCATCCAGATTGGTACGGAAGAAGCCAAACTGTCACTGTTTGCAGATGACATAACATTGTACATAAAAAACCCTAAAGAATCCACTCTAAAACTACTAGATCTAATATCTGAATTCATCAAAGTTGCAGGATATAAAATTAATACACAGAAATCTGTTGCATTCCTATACATTAATGATGAAATAGCAGAAAGAGAAATCAGGAAAACAATTCCATTCACGATTGCATCAAAAAGAGTAAAATACCTAGGAATAAACCTAACCAAGGAAGTGAAAGACCTATACCCTGAAAACTACAAGACACTCTTAAGAGAAATTAAAGAGGACACTAATAAATGGAAATTCATTCCATGTTCTTGGCTAGGAAGAATTAATATTGTCAAAATGGTCATCCTGCCTAAAGCAATTTACAGATTCAATGCAATCCCTATCAAAATACCAACAGCATTCTTCAATGAACTGGAACAAATAGTTCTAAAATTCATATGGAACCACAAAAGACCCTGAATAGCCAAAGCAGTCCTAAGAAGAAAGAATAAAGCATGGGGGAACCTTACTTCCCAACTTAAAGCTCTACTACAAAGCCACAGTAATCAAAACAATTTGATACTGGCATAAGAACAGACCCATAGACCAATGGAACAGACTAGAGAGCCCTGACATAAACCCACACATATATGGTCAATTAATATATGATAAAGGAACCATGGACATACAATGGGGAAATGAAAGCCTCTTCAACAGCTGGTATTGGCAAAATTGGACAGCTACATGTAAGAGAATGAAACTGGACTACTATCTAACTCCATACATAAAAGTAAACTCGAAATGGATCAAAGACCTAAATGTAAGTAATGAAACCACAAAACTCTTAGAAGAAAACATAGGCAAAACTCTCTTGAATATAAACATGAACAACTTCTTCATGAATCTATCTCCACGGGCAAGGGAAACAAAAGCAAAAATGAACAAGTAGGACTATATCAAACTAAAAAGCTTCTGTACATCAAAGGACACCATCAGAAAAGGCATCCTATAGTATGGGAGAATATATTCATAAATGACATATCCAATAAGGGGTTGACATCCAAACTATACAAAGAGCTCACATACCTCAACAAACAAAAAGCAAATAATCCAATTAAAAAATGGGCAGAGGAGCTGAGCAGACAGTTCTTCAAAGAAGAAATTCAGATGGCCAGCAGACACATGAAAAGATGCTCCACATCGCTAGTTATCAGAGAAATGCAAATTAAAACCACAATGAGATATCACCTCACACCAGTAAGGATGGCTACCATCCAAAAGACAAACAATAACAAATGTTGGTGAGGTTGTGGAGAAAGGGGAACCCTCCTATACTGCTGGTGGGAATGTAAATTTGTTCAACCATTGTGGAAAGCAGTATGGAGGTTCCTCAAAATGCTCAAAATAGAAATACCATTTGACCCAGGAATTCCACTTCTAGGAATTTACCCTAAGAATGCAGCAGCCAAGTTTGAAAAAGACAGATGCACCCCTATGTTTATCGCAGCACTATTTACAACAGCCAAGAAATGGAAGCAACCTAAGTGTCCATCAGTAGATATGGATAAAGAAGATGTGGTACATATACACAATGGAATATTATTCAGCCATAAGAAGAAAACAAATCCTACCATTTGCAACAACATGGATGGAGCTAGAGGGCTTTATGCTCAGTGAAATAAGCCAGGTGGAGAAAGACAAGTTCCAAATGATTTCACTCATCTGTGGAGTAAGAACAAAGAAAAAACTGAAGGAACAAAACAACAGCAGACTCACAGAACCCAAGAATGAACTAACAGTTACCAAAAGGAAAGGGACTGCGGAGGATGGGTGGGAAGGGAGGGATAAGGGGAAAATGGGTCATTATGATTAGCACACATAATGTAGAGGGTGGGAACAGGAGAGGCAGTATAGCACAGAGAAGACAAGTAGTGATTCTATAGCACCTTACTAAACACTGATGGACAGTGACTGTAATGGGGTATGTGGTGGGGACTTGATAATAGGGGGAATCTAGTAACCACAATGTTGCTTGTATAACTGTATATTAATAATACCAAAATTTAGAAAATAAAAATTGCAAATAAATATATAAAACAGGGACTAAAAAGACAATAGAAAAGATTCGTGCAACTCAGAACTGATCTTTTCAAGACAAACAAAATTGACAGACTCTTAGCTAAACTAACCAAGAAAAAGAGAATAATAAAATCAGAAGTGAAAGAGAAGTTACAAATGATACCAGAGAAATACAAGGGATCATAGGAGATAATTATAAAATGCCAAAAAGCTGGACTACTTGGAGTTGGAGAAATCGATAAATTCCTAGAAACACAATTTTCCAAGACAGAGTCATGAAGAAACAGAAAATCTGAACAGATCAACTATTAAGTGGATTTAAACAGTAATCAAACCTTCCCCCCAACTCCCCAACAAACAAAAGGCCAGAACAGATGGCTTCACTGGAAAATTCTACCAAATATTCAAAAATGTTTTAATACCTAGCCTTCTTAAATTTTCCCAAAAAATTGAAAAGGAAGGAAAGCTTCTAAACATATTTTATGAGGCCAGCAAGACCTAATACCAAAACCAGACAAGGACACCACAAAAGAGAAAATTATGGGCCAATATCACTAATGATCATTGATGTAAAAATCCTCAACAAAATGTTAGCAAATCAAATCCAACAATACATGGAAAGAATCATACACCACAGTTAAGTGGGATTTATTCCAGGGGAATGAAAGGATGGGTCAACATCCACAAATCAATCAGTGTGATAAATCACATTAACAAAATGAAAGATAAAAATTACATAATCATCTCTATACAGAAAAAGCATTTGACAAAATTCAATATCCATTTATGATAAAAATGCTCAACAAAATGGGTAGAGAGGGAATGTATCTAAACATAATAAAGGCCTACTGTGACAGTTCTATAGCTAGCCACTGCACTGTCATACCAATAACATTTTACCCAGCAGAAAGAATAAACTACCCAACCATTATAATTTATCATTATACTTAAAAGCATGCTGTGCAGCATTTCACCTTCCAAACTGAAACATTATATTTCATATCCTCTTTTTGAAAACTGGAAGAAAAAGATGCAGATTTTTTTCTATTTTTTTCTAGGAGTACAGATGTCAGTTTTCCTCACGTATGCTTAGAGTTTGAGAGAGAGAAAAGCCATATGTAAAATCAAAAACACAAATGAATAGTAAATGTTGGACCCAAATTCTGTTATATCAGGTAAAGTCTATGCTCTCTATCACTGCTAGTTCATCACTCTCATTTGGCTGTTAACTACAGAGATGGCATTCAAGAAATACACAAAATTTTCTGTCTTGATCAAATAGAAAAGGCTTCTGCGCCAGAGCTCCCACCACGCAATGATAAGCCCCTTCATCACCTGGTAACAGTGTCTAGAAGAGACCTGAAGGTTTCAGAAAAATCATCCTAGGAGGGAATTTGATAGACTCATTAACAACAACTTGAAAGGATTTGAGCCTTCTTTCTTAAATCACTATTCCAATGACTTCATTCAGCTCACATTTCAGTTCACCCTGAAAAATGAAAGAGGTTAACATGTCCTTTGTGGAGACAAGGAGAATCAATTTCAACTTCTGCATTAACTACTCAGATAAATTTTCAAAGATAAAGATTACCCAACTAAATAGTGTTTGCACAGCAATCTCTTTGGTCAGATTTCACAGTTAAAATTTTTAATACCAAAATATAATACTCACTTTTAGTTTCTTGTTTAGTTTACAGCAGTATCTGTACACCATTGCCAAGTTCAGAGGTCCAAAATCTGCATAGAAACTGAGATTTTTTTTTTTAAAAAGGTAGTATTTAGTAGGAATGTAATTTTCAGTAATATCAATGCTAATTTTGTTTTCAAGAAAGTTGCAATCAAATTTCAATTATCTTCAGGATAAGGATCAGTATATTGTTTCACCCTAGTAATGCCCTCCAGTTACTAGAACCTGCCTCTTAACACGAACTATTAGGACAGTTTTAAGTTCTACCTCCTTATATCTTCCTGCCAGCACATTAAGAAAAAGGATTGAAAAGCTGGCAATGAAAGAACCAACATGAGCATAATATACTATGTGACCTTCACGTCTTAGTTTTATTCACCACCTATTTAGTCCCAAAGCTTATGTACTCTGGGTTCCAATTCCAACCATTCTACTCAAACACTGCTCTCAATTTTCAATGTATCCTAAGCCCAACAGCCTTTTTGAAGTTTCATTCTCTTTGAATTTTTCTGTATTATGACACACTGGCTCATCTCCCTCCATCTCCTTCCACCTCCAGTATATAGCCATTCATCTGCAGATCTCTCTCATCTGCTGCCATGTATATAACTGATAACCCTATGGAAAACAGATGGCTCCTACACTTGATTTTTAAGTATTTCACCCAGAATCAGTGTTTTCTATCTTACCTGCTGGACCTCACATCTACAGGTCCTTCCAACACATAGGACTCAGAATGTCTTCAAACCAAACCCATAGTTCCTTAAATCAGCTCTTCAGACTAAAGACATTTTGCTTCTCCCAGTCACTCAGGCATGAAACCTCTTAGTACCATAGAACAACATCTAAATATTAATCTAATTATCATATATCAGATAAGATACTATTCTAAGTCATCCCTTCCTTTTCTATTCCTACATTGGGACAAAAGTGCAGATCCTCTTCATCTCACATTTTTGCTGTTTAATTTCTCCTCCCCCTGCCCAATTATCCTGTATTCCACTCTAGAGATTAATCTTCATAAAATCTTACTTCTCACATATCCTCCCACTACTCAAAAATGTTTAACGGCTCCTTACTCCCTTCAGAATAATTCCTTGGCCCAGCACTCATAGCCTTACGCATTACGCTCTTACAGGATGACCTAATCTTCTTTAAGAGGTTCCATATAGAATCTTCATTCTGACAAACATGCCCATTCCTTACTCTCAAAAACTCCATGCATATTCTCAAGTCAAACGTCTGCTCATATTACTCTCCTTGCCTGAACTGCCCTCTTTTTCTCTTTCTGCACCTCTGTAAGCTTCCACAAAAGCCAGTTCAAACCTTACCTTCACTGAAGAGTCTTTCCAATCACTCTTAGGAAACACTGCCCACTCTAAGTTCCCAAAAGTTGCCAACCGAGCCTCCCGCCCCCTTTTGGCCCCACACATACTATCTCATACTGTCAGTTATCTTTTTAAGAGTAGATCTTACCTTCCCAACTACAGTACAACCTCTCACTCAGGGACTGTATCTTATACCTTATATGCTTAGATGAATATCCTCTTACAGTAGAAAACTTCAACAAATGAGTCTTCAGTATGAGTATTTTGCTTATTAATGCTCAAATTCAATTTCAACTAGGCCATAAATTCACTAAATATAAACAAGTTTCAAAAATTGGACCCCCAAAAGACCTTTGTTTTGAGGGAGTCATTTGATTACATTTTTTTCTGCTACCCAAATTACAGTATCATAGATATGTCATTACACTACATCAAATTTGCCAGTAGCCACTTGCCTTACATAAGAATATTAGACTTGTATATTTGATCTATGCTGAGCAAATTAGAAGTATTTTGGAACTTAGATTCTAGGTAACACCAAAATTAACTGTCCTTGTACACAGGCTTCATGAAAATAAGAATACAGAGTTGCCAAAAAAGAAAACTTAAAATGATTTGAAATAAGAACTCTTCATTTATTTCTCAAGTTCCCACTGCGATGCTGTCCTATAACTATAAATAAAACACCCACAAATCCACAATGAACCATGCACATAGTACCTAATTACCAACCAGTCTAAGACCTGTCAACATGAATCCACTCAAAAGAACCAAAATGAAAAGAGTATCCAATTTAGCACCTATCAGCATTTATTAAGGCAGCCCTGTTCCTATCACAGAGATTTCCTTGTCCTTGAGTTACTGGTGGCAACCCCCTCAACTAATATACCTTGTTTGTTTCTACTTGAACATGAATATTGACATTTGCACAATTTAAGATGAATATGGAATTTTTAGTTATGGTCATTTCACTTTATTAAACTCACTTCGAACAAACTTCAGGAAAGCACAGAATATTCAAGTCATCAAATCCCAGTTCATACCATTACAAGCCAACTTCAGTTTTGAACTCAAGGCTGTACAGTTTCTAACAAAACAGTCAGCTTAGCCATGTGTACTTTTGGAAGCAACATGATTAACCAACACACTCATTTCACCAAATATCAGGAAAATAAGTGGTATATTCTAATAACACGGGAAAAAGTAAATCAAATACAGACCTCATCTTTAAGTTGGCCTGTACTCTCCAACATGGTAGCTACTAGCCACATTTGGCTATTTAAATTTAAATTCATAAAAGCTAAATTAAAATTCCAGTTTTCCCATCATACTAGCCTATTTCAAGTGCGCAAAAGCTACATGTAGCTAATGGCTACCAAATTGGACAATGCAAATATAGACCATTCCCATCATTGCAGAAAATGTTCTGCACTAATAGATAACACCGATCCAAATGAAAAGGTAAAAAAAAGAACAAAAACAACTAGAAAATACTAGAGAAATTGTCAAGTAGCACGAATGCGGTACAGATAAAATGTTTGAAGACAATGCCCTTCTCCTTTAGGGACCCACATTATTTCCAACAGTGAGATTAGGGCTGGTAATTCTTATCCCCTTTGGTTCAAGGAGTCATATTTCCAAAAAGCCAGTTAGGGACCTAGAACAGAGGACAGAAAACTAGAAGAGGGTCTAGCCGCCACTCGGCTTTACTGTTCCTCAAAGACACTTGCTGCTCTAAGAGCATTAGACAGCTGCGATGAAGCAGGCACACCTCTGTCTTGGCTGGAGCACCAAGTGAAGGGGAGATGAAAAGCAAGAGTTTTCTGACCTAGGGGATTTACCCCCCTCCCAATACCTTGAAGCTCAATGGGCCAGTTTTTATATTTCACAAAAGTTAGAATGGACTTCAAGTCACACTAAGAAAATTCAGTCAGAACTTTGCACAAAACAAGCAATTTAGAACAGACCTTCAAAAGTCAGAATTACCACAGATAAATATAAAGTCAACAAATTCTGTTAAGGTCATTTTATATACAATGCTTTCCTTTCATGCTCATATTTATAAAATTACACATGTACTTATAATCATATAGTTTTATATATTATATTGCTTTCTAACTAGCTAAATACTAGCTAATCTCTGAAAATGTTGAGATCAGTTTTTTTTAAATGGTCATAGTTGCTCACACCATGCTGGATTATCGCTAACTTTGGTATAATAAAATGCCATGAATAAAGAAGACACCTTCTTTGTAAGGTGTCTTCATGTAAGCAAAGACATGCTTCTTTGTAAGAATCTTCCTCCCCAGAGGTGGGGGAAACTGGAAAACAAATTTATAAGGCAGAGCATTAGCTAGTGAGAAATATTATAATACTAAAACCATTTATCTCAACTGAAATAAGCTATATGTGCTAGAAAGTATAAAATATGTACTTGGGCAACTTGTAACCAAGGCAGGAGAATGAAAGACTTAGGCCTAAGGTAGAAGAGAAGTGGAAGGTCATCAACATGGGGGCAGTGAAAAAGGGAGGCGACGTGACAGAGATAAGCCCTGTAGAGAGACAATAAAGAGACCTGATGGCTGAGTGGGCTCCTACGCCTGAAGTTAATGACACTGAGCAGTGTATTCTCCACTCTGGCACATTCCAGGAAGAAACCTCCAGAACCACAGCCACTCAAGAGTCCCTACTTTTTCTTGTGTAGGGGAAGGAAGGATGATCTGGTCTCATTTGGGCAGAGAAAACTATGGATATATTATCTTATTATTTCAGAGTAGCTTCAGCTTCCCTTCAAAATGAATGAATGAATGAACAAGTGAATCTCTCTCATCTGTCTGTAAATTTCCTCTTGTAAAGCTGGCAAATTATGGGTCAATAAACAGAATGAAACTCATGAATTAAGTAAAAATCAGTAAATCTGTTTTTATTCAGTAAGTAAAGAGCTAAAATCAAAGAAATTAAAATAACTGAAGTCCTGCAAGTAAGGAGGGGAAGAGAAGGGAGGATCATCTCCTTCTGGAAAGACAAAGAAATGGGAGCCCAAGGACCAAAACAAACGTTCACCAGGGTCACCCACTACCCAGAATGCTGGTCCTACAGATTTGAAGGGAAATAGAAGTTGGGCATAAAACCTTTTTGTTATACCTAACATGTCTAGCTCTTCTCACAAGATTTATGAAGTTCATGATGTATCATTATTTTGGGTTTGGTTGTTCAAACTAATTTAAATGGGCCCATTCTCTGGGGAATCATTGCTTAAAGCACTGTTGTCCCTTATTTTACAGACGTTTCATCTGAAAATTTTCAACTCCTCAGCAAAAAGACAAGCTATAATGCAAGCAGTACTCATCCACTCAACAAAATTTATGTCTACCTACTCTGCGCAAAGCACTACCAGTGAGCATATTAATCAAAGAGTGCTGAGAATACAAAACAAAATGGAACTGCTTTAAAACATACTGTAAGATCAGTATAAGGCAAGCCAACTCTCCAGTTTTTTGCCAGCACAGCTAACAGTTTTTGTCTATTCATTCATTCACTCACTCAAAGCCTGCAGACCACCATTCCCTCCCTGACCACAAGGAGCTCACTGCCTGCAGAGCAGACAAGCAAACATACTATTACAGTGTGAGAAATACTGAGCAGCAGTATCCTTCAAAGCACAGTGAGATTATATACGTGTGTATATGTGTAAAATTTGGGTGAAATTACTCAGCGCAGCCCTCTGGACCAG